ACGTTGTAAGAAACTGATCAATAAATAGGCAGTGCACCGACATCTATGAATCTCATACCTGTTGGCCACAGTGTGTTGAGAGTGTGACATAGCGTGATTCGGAATCTGAAGGGCAATCCGGACCACAACTAAGACTTCCAGAATGAGGCCCAACCACGGTAGTTGTGTGATTGATTCGTACTCATCAGCTGGTATCGACGGTGGTGGTAGTCCAGGGAAGCAGTATTGCCAGCACGTAGAGAACATGGTCAACGAGTGTAAAAAGTTGCCCAGAGACTGCCATTGTGCAACATCATCATAGATTCCACAGCGGCGAAGCTCATCCAACATGGTGAAAATGCAACCAATGAAATCTACCATAAGGCGGCAACATGGATACAAGCTGCACAGACAATCACGCACAAGGCAATGCAAGCACAACCAAGCACAAGATCAAACTGATGCAACGCAAAAAGATGACGGACGAGTTTTAACCTTGACTCATCCGTGACACGGTTGCCGCTCCGGGCTCATAAGAGAACGAAGGTCGTTAAGATGCCTGCTCATCCGCTGAGTAAGCGAGCGGTCACGATGAGGTGACTCAATGCCTTCTCAGTGAGCTTGGTGAGATAGCCGGGCTCCAGTCCCCACGAAGCCGCCATCGCCCCGAGAGTAGGAGCGTCGCCTTTCGGCATGCGTTGACGCGCTTGAAGGAGCGTTGACGCGCTTGAAGGAGCTGCGTCGCCATGGAATCTAATGACTTGTTGCCGTTGAGCCGGGACGGGTGATTGGCCCACTTGACCAGTGACGTCAAAGTTGTGGTTGTGGGCGATTGCTTGAGATAAAGGCGTGGCTGGTCACTGGTCCATGTGAAGTACTTGACAACTTCTTCCGGCGTGCTGTGCATGGTGAGCAATTGTGACGCCGCCGGCTTGGACGGCGGTGAAGACACTCCGTGAAGAGACTGAATGATCCGGGGTTGCACCGCGCTATCAAACGACTTGCCATCAAGGGCCGCTGCGCTGACTGTAGGGAGGGAGCTGGCAGGTGACGAGGATTGTGTGTGGTTGACCGGTGGCGGTGTAACCAACTCTGCATCATCTTTCTGGCTTGCCGTTGCCTGATCAGTGGGACGAGGTCGAAGGTGTGAGAGAAGCGTGGTGTTGCTGAAGAAATTGAAGTACCAAGCTGGCCAAATGGTCATGAACCTTGATCCGCTGATTGAAGTCATCGATGTTGAGACCCAGCGAGTTGGCAAGGTCCTTTTCCAGGGTGAGCAGGTTGATCGACTGTGATCGTCGTAGTAGTTTGGAACATGTACTCCAAAGTAAGGCCTCGGTGCGAGTGCGAAAGCCTTCCCACGTCACGAATCTGCCGTGAGCGAACGGTCGGAGCAGCCAGTTGGTGAGGCCCCCATGAATCACCTGAACCAGGCGAACGTCACGAATATCCATGCCTGACATGTCGCGCAGGTTGCCATGCGGAGTGTTGGCAACGGTCATGGGCAGGCTGAAGTTGTAGAGCTGATTGACATCAAACATGCCCTCTCCAGGTGTCCAGTCAGGCGATGGTGTAAGCCAGGCTTTCTGAGGACGAACCGGTAGAGCCGCAGGAGGTCCAGGTGGCGGTGTAGGTTGCGGGGTAGTGACCGGTGGTGGCATCACGGGTGGCATGAACTTCATTGGCGTGGGGTCTGGAGGGATCGGCATCATGTAGTTGATTGCTGGATGTTGGAATTGCTGTGTGGGACTATGAGTCGATTGAAAATTGGTGGGCATCATCGGGAAATTGTTGGCAGAGTTGTAGCCGGAATTGTGTTGCCAAGATACCAGGTTGTTCCAATCCATGCCTTCCGAGACGTGGTGGTCATTGTGTTCACGTCGGTGTGCTTTACGAGCCTGAGGAGAAGTACTCCGATCACGTCTGCGCCGAGTCCTGGATCTATCACGATCATCACGTCGAGACATGGTTACACAATCGACTCTCAATCTTCACGCTTCCATCTTGAGAGACACGTATCAGACAACAAGCAAATCCATGCAACGGCAAGGTATCAACGAATCCAACAAATGGCAAGCAAACGCAAACATCAGTGGTGAGACGTCTCTATGATCTGACCGCTGTCTTCCCTTTAGTGAAACCTCGTTCCTGGTTAAATGTGAAATTCCGCTGTTCTATGATTAGCACGTTGAGGTCAAATTTTCCGACAGAGCCGGCCCGGGGTCACACAATGGGTACACCCGAGGATTCCCCACGAATGGGGTGTACACACTTAAACTCCAAATGGAGAGCGCTAATCTTTCGAGTACAACTGATGAGTCTCGAGTACAACTGATAAGTCTCGAGTATGATGAGGTTCGACTCGCATAACGCTTGGCTTCCCTGTAGTTACTTTAACAGGGACACACCGAAGCAACGGCAGTTCAGGGGGGGACCAAAAGCACATTCAGAACAACACAACCATCTCGGCAGGTACGTCTGACTGATCAGGTCAGATATCAGCGCAGGTCACGACCCTCTTCGTTGGGTCACCGGTCGTGACTGCGGGTGACCCCCCTGCTGAGAAACCGAAAGGGTGGTGACAGGGCATTCTGTCACTCCGCACACACACACACACACACACACACACACACACACACACACACACACACACACACACACACAC